TAATGATTTTAAACGAAAAATGAAGCTCAACTCCAAGAAGTTTGAATGATGGTGATAAATTGGTGTTAGGTAGCGCCTCCGATATCCAAGTACAGGGGTAGAAAAAGATCGCAATCGACGGTCAGTTCCTATCGACTTCGAAAAATAAATATCAGCTACTGAATTTTGTACAGTGTGAAAAATTGGCAGCTGATGTCAATTCATCAGTGCACATTACACAGCATTATATAGTGAGTACATATTGTTCTCTGTGTAGATTGATGGAGTGAGGTTATCACGAATAGGATCGATGGAAAAGTTTACCGCAAATTACTGGTATCTGTGCAGATGTTAGTCCCTATACATTACCCTCGAATTAATTTCTAGAGAAATCAATTATATATTTATAATTTTTCGTTCGATTTAATTCATTCCTTGATATTCATGCTTTAAATATTTTTTCGTGGGTATGATTATTGGAATTTGTTCATAAGCTGATAATTTTTTTGGGAATCCCGGTATTTTTTTCACCAATTTTCAAATTGATTGATTCAATCGTTTTTTTTTCAGATTGTTTTTCTCCATTTTGAGTGCAAAGTTTTGAGCTTGTCCCATGATTATTAGATTCTTTGATGAAAACAAATGAAACAAGCAAAGGTTCGGCCTATCTGATAGAAGGCAAGCGATCATCACTTTTTTAGTTCTTAGCCTCTTTTTTTATTTCAACCAGTTCCATGGTAGCAAGCTTCCGAATGGATCCGTAGCAATTCCCTATCCTTGTGACAGGTATATAACAGTCATCACATTCTATAGGGTGGGTACAGGAAACTATTCAACCTTTTAATGAAATAGATTCATACAAATGGGTAAATATCTCCGAAACTACACGATCGATTTCGCCTATCCAAAATACCAATGTTCAGTATTGTAAAGCCATAATCATACCAAATTTCAACTCGTTATCTTCATTTTTTCGCAAGTTTATCTTGCGTATAAGAATGAAAAAAAGAAAAACGGCAATATCTCGAAAATATAGAATGAATAGGTATAGATATTTTGATTGATTTAGATGGAGGCCATCGAGATAAGTATTTTGAAAAAAACGAAAATCCATCGAAGCTTGCTTACCAAACAAAAATGCAATACCGTTACAATGCATATAATAATTCAAAATATATTATCGAACAAAATGTTCAATGCCGGGTCAGAGATCTGTGAAATAAGCGAGCGATGAGCGAGATGTAAATGGATTCTTTATGGGAGCGTGAGAGGGACCAAAAATCACAACACGTACACGTTGGTTAAACACAGTCAATTTAATTACAATAACGAGTGAATATTTACACGTGTTCAATTAATTATAATTATCGAGATGATCAAAAGAAATGGCGCGGGTCACAATATTATTGAGCAGTTCACAGAATTATTAACGCAAAGCAATAATACGCGGGCATCGAGAAGAACAATAGAGCAATTCGCAGAATGCAAAGTACACTGTACGATAGCCGAAATGCAAATGAGAGCGATTAAAGGACCGCAAGGTGGCAGGTGTCAATCATCGAAGATCCGAACGTCCCCCAATTTAAATGGGGGGTACCCCAATTTAATCTGAGGGGAGAAAGCAGATCATCTGTGGGCAAAGCCATGCAAGCATACGAGCGAAACTAGTGTGTGTGCAAGCGTGCATATGTGCGTGTACCCGAGCAATAATTCAGTGGAAAACTGAACAGACAGCCTCATTTAAGTTTTCTCGTATATATGACTGCACTTTATTTTTTATATTGTGAGGTATTTTTCTCAGCGCGTCTGCGGGATTCAGACGCGTGGTTCTCCACGAACTTTCAGCGACCCTTTTGCACTCTCTCAACCCGGAATTAGAACGACGGGAATAACGAGAGGAGACACAATGCCAAAAAGGGCGCCAGTCCTTTTAACCGCCAAAGGACAAGGTCGCACCGTTGAGCCGCGTTCCACGACTAGCTCAGATAATGGCGGAGGCGTGTGGGAACAGGCTACAATGAGCGGAACTCAACAATATGCAAACTTTTACAACACAAAAAAAATATATTGTTAATCCAATGAGGTAAGTCTGATCTTTTACACGTGCGGGAGCAGACTCCCGCGAGCAAAGACGCTATACAACCCAAAAAAAAATGTAATTAACCTAGTCATACTAATTAACAAAAAGAAATAATAATAACTTTAAAGATGCGTGGGAGACGCTAAGACGCGAGGATCACCCGCAAGCGACGACGACGCGAGAGCCACGACACAAAAGTTATTGGGAAAGGTCGACGTAACAGATGAGTTAGGACTAGTTTTCCCCACAAAAGAAAATTGGTAATAAAAATCAAGTAGAGAAACTAATAAAAAAAATCAAATCAAGAGGTAGCTGGAGGCTACAGAGTGCCGCGTCACAAGCAGACTCTAGTACATTCTCAAACGGCCCCAAAATGGGCGTCAGAGTGGATTCACTACTGGAAGGACGCGTGCACTCACAACGAAATAAGACGCTCCCCGTGATTTCGCGAGAACACCAGGCAGACTCGTCTGGACCCTCAGTACGGCGACGTCGGAAAATAAAGCCGGAACAAACGGGCACAACACCACTACGTACTTTACTTTTATTCGGTCAAATAGCTCGGAGAGCGAAAGAACTTAAATGCGCAGAGCGACTTTATCGGACTAAATCCCAGCGAAGAGTGTTCGTCGGGGCCGTACATCACCCCAAGGAACCCCTCAATTTCTCTTCCGCCCACCCGATCACGTGATAGAGCGCGAAAAATCCAGGGGATTCGGCAATTTGAGTATTTTTACAATGGTTCTAATACCAAAATCCTTAGTCCCAGAACCTGGGACTTGCGCCTCGCGGTCGGTGGATATGATTCGCGTTGAGCGGCGCAGGAGTCAACATAATCCGATGCTCCCTCAATGTTGTAGCATCGGTTTTTTACTGAACGGCCTTGTGCCGCCGTTCCATCGGTGAGGTGGTGGGGGTTCGCACGTAGAGGCCTGAGATGCCTGCTGACGTGCGACGATTGTCTTTCGCGTCCTACGTGGTGTGAGTCTCCCCGACTCGGTGTGTGTGTGTGCTCCTCGGTGTGCTGCTCCTCAGCTATTGCGCAGTCTTGTAGCTCTCCCCGAGGCTCTGCTCCACTCCCTTCGCCACGAAGCTCACGTAACCCACGGTGAGCGCGATCGACAGAGTTCGAGGGAATGGAAAGAAGGAAAATAGTCAAATAATAAAAATAAAAATAAGTTGACAGTTGTGGCTCTGAGTGATCCGACTCCTCGCTGGGGTAAACGACTAATTTTCCCCCCATGATCCACGGTCAGTTCAGGCGACGAACAGTACATGATTTTTATCATGTTACAATATATAAAATCACATGCTAAACACCAAATTTGGCGAAAGGAATAGCAAAAACAATAAGCATCAAAGTTAACTAAACTTCTGCATTTCAAAAATAGTCTCTCCGTGCTGCTCCTTTCATATCAATGTATAACCTGAACACTGAACCACACATTACTGAGCAGCAGCAGCCTCCTCTAATGCCCTAAGATACCGATAACAGTTTCTACGTAACTGTAACAAAGTACATGTGATGTCGGGGGTAGACCATTTCAAAAGCTTATTGCAAACACCGCGAACGACCTTTGGAAAGGGGTTAGACGTGTACAAAGCACTGTCAGAGTGTCCGTCCTGCCTCGCGGCCGCCGCAAACCTGAGGACGGGTGAAAACGCAGATCATCACCAAACAGTCCAACCTTTCTTAAGTGAATGGCCTTGTAAATAGTGCAAACCATTAGATAGCACCTCCTATTTGCTACGGACAACCAACCAAGTCGCCGTCTATCAGCTGAGATATGACCCCTCCGCCGACGCCTGGCGACAAATCTCACGCAAGCATTAAACGCTCTCTGAAATGTTAATGCATTATGAAAAGCTCCATCAGTAAGAGCTGGCACGCAGTAATCCAAAAACGGGAGCATAAGAGCAATGACGAGTTTCCTGCGCAACTTCTCATTGAAGAGGTCCCCATCAGCTCGCACCCTTTCCAAAGCCCCGAAGACCTTAGCGGAAATCACCTTTATATATGCATTCCAAACCGAAGTAGACTCTAGAATCATTCCCAAGTATTTAACCATCATCGGATACTGTAGAACGTGATCCCCAAGCCGTACTTGAGAGAATTGATCTACTGGGTGCTGGGTGAGCATCTTCAGTATGCCGAAGAGAACTGCTGTGGTTTTGACTGGATTGATCAGAATGCAATTACGCCGACACCATCTCAGCAACCTTTCCAAATCAGCATTCATGTGCTGAACATACTGATCTACCTCCGCATCAGGGCAAGATCAATACAGCAGTGTGTCGTCCGCGTGAGAAAAATACATAGCATGTTGCAGCAACTGCCCCAAATTACCTGCATAAAGTGAGTAAAGAACTGGCCCAAGAATACTCCCCTGCGGGACACCTGACTGTATTGGACGCCAGCCAGATAACCGACCTACTGCAATCACTCTCTGACGTCGTCCAGTGACATAAGTGCGGAACCATCAAAGCGGTATTTCTCCAATACGCAATCGCTGAAGCTTTTCCAATAAAATTTCATGATTGACGGCATCAAAAGCTTTTGAAAAATCCAGAAATACCGCTATCGTCACCTCAGACCTGTCAAAGCCCCGCCGAATATCATCAAGCAAACGCAACACTGCCGACTGAGTACTAAAGCCTGTATGAAAACCCGTTTGAAACAGGTCACGCAAGTTGGCTCCGTCCAAGTAACTGATCACTTAATCTAGCACGATCTTCTCCAACACTTTAGATAGGTATGGCAGCAGAGAAATAGACCGAAAATCTTCTAAACGAGATGCCCCAGGCACTTTACCTGAAGACCTCGCCAGCGCACATTCCCGGGATTCTGGAAAAGTACCCTGAATCAACGAGCTATTGAAAAACTGCGTCACTGCACCCCATATATGTTTGCCGAAGCAGCGATGAAGACGCATTGACTCACCATCACCACCGATAGCCATCGAAGTAACATGCGCCAAGGCCTTGCCCACAACTTCTGGCATCACCTGTGGAAAATGAAAAGTCTTGTGCATTAAATCCTCACTACCTTCTTCAGCCGAATCCTCAAAAGCTAACATCACAGAAGGCACCGGAGGCTGAGCAACATCATCCATGCTTACAAAATAATCGTTGAAATCATCCGACAAATGAAGCGGAGGACCGGGAGCACACGCTAGTCTACTTCTTCTAGTCAGACCCAAAGCATCTATTTTAAACCATAGCATCCTTGGCGGGAGTTTATCTGAACAGCAACGCTTCAAACCGGCCTTCGGATTCCCTCTAATCACCCTCTTTACCTCAGCTCTCAGCCACTTGTATCTGGCGCAAGTCTCCGCATTCCAGGTTCACCGCCACGATCGATAGCAACGCTTCTCATCCGCAATCATCTGGCAAACCTGCGGCCTTACTCCTGGCACCACAAAACGTCGCTCCGGTAGCTCATGAACAGGAACTTGCTCATTAACAACTCCCATCAAGAGCTGCGATAAGCGAGACGCAGCTGTGTTAATCGGTACACCAGCATCAAGAAAGCTCAAGTCAGAAGCATCAAAATTCTCAATCAAAGCAGCAGCATCCACTAAATTCCACTGGCGACCACGACGATGAACCGGCACACCAGCAACATTACCATAAAAATAATCAACTCGCAGCATATCATGAGCCGATAAAAAAAGGTATCACCGACTGGTCGTGAGCTACCACAAAGTGCAAATCATCAACTGCAACAACATCCAGCTAGGTATCTGCCCGCTCCAAGTGATGTGTTGGCAGAAATCGCAGTATACTCATTCCAAATGTCGAAAAAAAATTCTCAAACTTCCTCCATAGTAAGCTGCACCATGCACGTTGCGATCTCCACCAATCATGGCACCTATCTGATCCTGAGCAACACCAACTCCCACATCCCAACCAGCATCATCATCAACAGCACCACGCTTACCACCATCAAGACCAATACTGGTCGGGTTCAAATTTGCATTCATGTCCCCCAGAACAGTGACATCTTGATACTCCGCCCAATACTTAATAAAATCTTCTTCGAAAAAATGTAATGGACCCACTCCAGGCGGCCTGTATAGAAGTGCAACCAAAATTTTTGGGAAATTTTGCCGCCATAGCTCTACAAGTATATACTCGGCCACACGCTCATTGACGTCAGATCCAGTCAGGAAGCGCACATTAATACACTCTTTGACGTAAAGCACAACACTTCTGCCTCTGCACCTCTCTCGATCCCACCGCAGGAGTTTATATCCTGGCAAAGCGACTTGTGCATCAGAAAACCATGACTTAACCCATGTTTTACTGACTGCAATCACATCAAAATTGTTCTGCAGCATAAACAGCTGAAATATATCAATATACAAAGCTAAGACTGAGCATTTACATGACCAAAACAAAGCACACTCTCCTGCCGCACCTCACCTACGCCAGTAGCAGGCTCCATAAGTAGTCATTGAGCCAATGCACCGATATCAGCTAATGACCCCACAGTTAGTCAATACGCTAGGGGTACTTCTGTGTACATTGAGATGTCCATTAGATTTCATTACTGGATTCTGTTTTCGAGGCCGCTAATTACGAATATGATGATCGTTTGTGCGAAATCGTGGACAGTCTCTTTGTTTATAACAATTTAATTGTTTAAAACGGAATATCGCGGAAACGGTTGGCTGTAGGGGAAAATGTTTCAAACAAAAAATGTTCCATATCAAAAAGTGGACATATTTTGTTTTATAATATTTTCTTATAGCTGTTATGGTTGCAGAGATATCGCGGATGCAAGTCCAGCGAGCGGCGCGCTGGCACTATTGTGCGGCGGCAACGCGCTCCGGAGTCTTTTTAAGAAAAATGGTTGGACGGAGAAAAAATGGTTGAAACAAAAGATGTTCATTATAAAAAAATACATCAGATCAGTTTTTTGACTTATTCAATTATTCCAAGTAATTTTCGAGATATTCAACGTTTTATGGGCGATGACGGAACAAATTCGCATTGCGCTGATCATTCAACTGTGATTATCTCGTTAACTACTAGAAATAGACCAAAATGTCTAATAACTGAAAAGATGAGTCATAAAATTACCAATATCTTTTGTTACACCTTTTTTTCTCTAGCTCCGTCCGTTCAGAAAATATTCCTGGCGCAAATCAGGAAATGAGTGCATTGAACGTCCACCTCAACTTCACACGTCGCACAACGGCTTCGCAGTGTTATGTGGCGTTGCCATAGTTTGCTCCGAATTCGTACACAATAGCCTTATCTATGTTTTCAGTATTGAGTTTTGTTTTCATCCTACGGAATTGAAGAACTCACCGTCAGTTTGCATTGAGACTCCTGAGGGTGAAGATCGTATTTTCAGAAAGTTTATTTTTTCGCGTGATTTTCTGGCTGGATTGCATGTTGTTTAGTGAACAAATAGCAGAGTAACGAGTTGAACAAATTTCACAGAGAGAGTTAGTTGCTGAACAAATGGAGCTAGAGAAAAAAAGTTGAAAAAAAAGATATTGGTAATTTCACGACTCATCTTTTGAGTTATTAGACATTTTGGTCTATTCCTAGTAGTTAACGAGATAATCACGATTTAATGATCAACGCAATGCGAATTTGTCCCGTCATCGCCAATTAAACGTTGAATATCTCGAAAATTATTTGTAATAATTGAAAAAGTCAATAAAATGATCTGATGTATTTTTTTGTAATGAATAACTTTTGTTTCAACCATTCTTTTCTCCGTCCAACCATTTTTTTTAAAAAGACTCCGGAGCGCGTTGCCGCCGCGCAATAGTGCCAGCGCGCCGCTCGCTGGACTTGCATCCGCGATATCTCTGTAACCATGATAGCTATGAGAAAATGTTATAAAACAAAATATGTCCAATTTTTGATAAGGATCATTTTTCGTTTGAAATATTTTCCCCTGTAGCCAACCGTTTCCGCGATATTCCGTTTTAAACAATTAAATTATTATAAAGAAAGAGACTGCCCACGATTTCGCACAAACGATCATCATATTCGCAATCAGCGACCTCAAAAATATAGAATCTAGTAATAAAATCTAATGGACATCTCAATGTACACAGAAGTATCCTTAGCGTATGGATTAAGTGAAAGGCCGAGGAATTCCAAACTTACGTACCAAAACCACAGTATAACCAAACCAAACTGCCCGAGGCGCAATATCGGGATACCTGCGCAACACCTCGCTTCTCAAGTAATGCGACGTCGGGGGTACTCTTTTGTTCACATTTACTACAGAATCAGCCCAGGTATCATTGAGATGACGAACCTATATACGACCCTTTCTTCTTTTAGCCGTGATTACCTCATTGACGCGTGTACGATGAGCGAACTCAACCATAATTGCTCTGGGTTGGCCCCCAACAACTGCAGGACCCATGCGCTCTGCCCGAATCACATCAGCTAGCTGCAGAACTAAGCCCAGAAGCGTACAGAAACTGAGGAAGAGTGTAATAAGATCCTCAGCACCGTGCTCAGGTACCCCAGATACAACGAGACGTGTAGCTACACCATCAGATTCCAACTACAACACACGACGAAACATCTCATCCGCCTGCGAAAGCGCATTTGAGACCACCTCATCAATACGCTTCCGAGCAACAGCATTGTCACCAACAGGAGCTACAGCTCTGGCCTGTTCCACAGCCTCCACACGAGCCAGTAGGCCATCAAATCTTGGACGAAACTCAGGACCCACACCACCAGCAAAGGCAGCTGAAAGACACCTTAAAACATAACGTCTCTGACAACAACCACAAGTCCATACAAAACTGAACGACCGGAAAACAGTCTACAACACGGAGCACACAAAAACGCATCCGGCAAGCGTAACAGCGTATCAGCGTTTTCAGCATATCTCAGGAACTACTGGACTGATCGAGCTGCATCAGCACGCCAAAATCGAGTCCAATCATGGCTACAATGAGCCAAAATTTCAGATTTTCATATACAAATTTAACCATAGTCTTATTCGACATTCTACCATCATTATGCAAATTGATGTTTCATTTTATGTTTCGTTTCATCTCCTTTACATTATTATATTTCTTGAGCTCGTTAAGCGAACTTTCATTTCTTGAGTCTTTCCCTTTATCGGTCAAGAATACCTATACGAATGGACCTATAGCTCAGTTAAGGAAGCACCCAATGCATAATCGGAAGATCCCTGGCTCAAATCCCGATCTGGATTAACCGTTTTTTCAGTAAATTTTTCAGATCAACTAATATTGATATATATCCTAGTTTCACTCCAACTTACGCCAAACTCCTATCTAAGAATATCCTGTGACGTCATAAGATTTCGAACTCTATATAAACTTTCATCTCCGTGACGAGTCAGGTTCGTAGATCCGTTCACAGATTCGATTTTGACTTTCGTCAATATCTTTTGTAGCAATGTACGTTGAAATTATTACACTGGAAAAAAATTCAGAATCGAGTCGAAGAATGCAAATTAATGTGTAGAACTAAATCATATCGAAAATCGGTTGATTTCATGCCGTGAGCGGTGCAGCGAATGAAGTCCCATTTGATATCATGCAGACGGTGTGATTTGCTTCCAATCTGATCTGATTTGATTCACGTCCATTCTAGGACTTGATTCAGGTCTGATCATAAGTACCTGAGTGAAATCTTAAATCAGGCGAGAATAAGCGATTGATGAGTAACAAATGATTTTGATCAGTTTTGGATCATAAATGTCAAGCTTATTGCAATCCATGCTTAATCAAAATTCTAGGATCCGATATTTCTGATCATCACCGGATTCAGAATTTAATCAGATAGATGAATCCAAAAATCTTACCACGAAATTCTAATCAGTATTGGATTTAAAACCGATTCAGACCCCGGTAACCTGAGCGCAATTTTCACTCGCGTAATTCGACCAAATTATGCAACTGGACTTGATATGACATGGACAATATAACTTTAATCAAGTACCAGTTTAACTTCCATCAAGTCGAAATGAACGACCTGAACCAGGCAGATTTTTCAACATGAAACAATTCGTTGATTCTACTTGAACCAAGTATGAAACGACCTAAGGTGTTCCTTCTGTAAATAATTCACTTTTCTATTCACAGCAAATCTATAC